TTTTTTCAGACTCTGCCCAGAATCCTGTCAAATGCACCATCATTCTCTTTCAATAATTGTAGTTTTGTGGTTGAGAAGTCCAAGGAAGCTACTGCCAGGGTGGTTGTCTGGAGAGAAATAGGTGTTGCCAGGAGTTATACCATGGAGAGTACGTACTGTGGGTGCGACCAAGGTCCATACAAGGTAATCTACAACCTGAAATGTCTGTCTGTCTGTCTATCTACATCCCTAACTCACTTGTCATCTGCTTATTTAAACAACTTTAATTCAATACCTTCCTCAGACAGAATCTTATGTTCTTTTTCTCACCAGGGACTTCAAATTGGAACCAGAGAATTAGAAGAGATGGGTAAAAAGTTCTGTGAAGCTCTCTTGAAATTGCGTCGGACCAGCCAACACATGAGGCAGCCATCTAGCTACACAAGTCTGACTGCTCTTGTAGCAACCTCTTTGGAAAATGATAAGGAACAGGAAAATCACAGGTTAGAAAAATGTCTATTTTTTACTATTGTGATGATTTTGACTGGAAGGTGTTCTCAAATCAGGTGTATATTAAAGTTGCATTCCCAGTTTGCATCTCTGTGTAGTACCGTCTCCTGACCAACACTATCAAATGTTAAGATTGTGGATGAGTAATGAGAAATATGAATAAGTAAATATGAATTTAAGGTTAGATTTGTAAAGAATAGATACTCACTGAATTAGTAGACTTTGTTTGTCCGTAAGGGTTAGTTACATTATAGGTATGTTCATCTACGGGATAATACCCCCTGTACTCTCAAAATGAAATAAGCTAGGAAAAATGAGGACAAAATCTCTGTTTTTAAACACATTTTATCTTGTTCTGGGAGGGATGTCTACTAAGTGGTTAAGTGGTACTGTAGCTTCACCATTATTGTTGAATTTTGTCTTTCCTTATGAAATATTCTCATTACCCTGTTGACCATAATCTTCAAAATTGCAGTCACATCTGGTAGGCGATATCAAATGTCTAATTTGAGAAAATTTCAGTGAATATGGAAAGATTTAAAACAAAAGATCATGTCTCCATGTCCATGTGTCCAATGATGACAAACCAATTAACAATGGCTATTGTCTACATGTTCTGAATGCCTTGATACTATTCAAGATAGTCAATGTCTTCTATATTTTCACACAGGCCAAGGTATTTTAGCTAGTCAGTATCCTCAGAATTTTGCAGCTCAATCCCAGTTACTGTATAGCATGTTTTGAGAAGGGCAATGGATGTCGACATAAATCCTCATCACAACATGAAGTGCAGAAGTTACATGTTTTTTTTGCTAATATGTTATTTCAGCTAATTTTGCTAATTAAAGAGGTTGCTAATAAAAAATGCATGTTGTCACAATAAGCTTGTTGGCACTTTTAGTTAAATTAAGTGTTTTATAGTAAATAACATCCATTGTTTGTATCCACCATTGTAGCCCTGATGAAGAGAATGTAGTTGTGCAGCAAGATGCAGATTGCAGTAGCGAAAGCCTGGTACAATTAGACGCTGATGGAAGTGGTCAGGGAATTAGTATCGAAGAAGATGACGATGATGATGATGATAGCTATGATGATTTAGAGTATGATGACGACGACGACGACGATGATGATGATGATGATGATTTGTGCACTGTTTCAGGTTCTGTACAACTTCCACCAATTGAGAATGATAGTGACGACAAAGATAGAGAATAAATTACTGAGATGCTACTACTGCAATGCTCAACCGAAGTACAAACATATCAGCAGTTTGTAATTTTTGTACATTTTATAAAAGAAAGAAATTGTTTGAACAAATTCTTTGTGAGTTTAGCTGCGTATTATTTTTACAAAATGTTTTGTTTTTGGATGTTAGAAACAGCTTTATTTTTAAAAATTGCAGTTTTACTGTTTTGAGCAAGTTGCCTGTATTTTGAGGCCCAGGAATACAAGCAATAATTTTAATATTATATTATGCATCCGGTAGCTAATATTGAGAATACCAGTGGTATACATAGTCTATCCAAATTGTGAACTACCTCTTTAACTTAGATTCCGTCTCTAGTCACTGACAACCTATCCACCAAGTTCACAGGTTTTAGCTGAGAATAGCTGTGTTTTTTTTTTTCTTTTTTGTGTTGAATTTGAAATTACAAGATTTTTTTTGGTGGAAATTAGGTTTTACTACTTCTATGTTGAAAGCAGTAACAGCTGTACTGAAGTGTTGGAATGGCTTATACTGTACTGCCAAAATACGAAGAAATATACAAATTTATTATAGTTATAGCAAATACATTTGTAACAAAAACATTTAATTCTACACTTTTTTAAAGCATTTTATTATAAATTCAGTTTTAATGAATGCCAAAAATGTATACCACTAGATGGCGCTGTTTTGATATGAATATGCACAACTACAGATGGTGCTGTTATGATCAAAATGTCCCAACACTAGATGGCGCTGTTATAGAAATGTACACCACTAGATGGCGCTGTTATAGAAATGTACACCACTAGATGGCGCTGTTTTGATATAAATGTGTTAACTTCTTACTATAGGCGATGATTATCATCGTGTTTGGTTACCATAAAAAAAAAAAACCAAGGCATACGATTAGTACTGGCACAGATTAAATCGAATACACATACGCTGCAACTCTCTATTTCACATTTATGTTTTTTTTAATATACGTCTATCTTTGGCTATCGTAAAACATTAAAATGGTGAATACAACAAAGTAAATTGATAAGTATAATAATGAAATTAATCTTACCGGTACTTTTTAATTCCTTGTTTTTATATAATTTTTTTTAGTGATCGACTACGACTGTAGGTTGTATCAAACTAATTACAAGTTTGAGAGTTTTTATTTACAAGAGTTTTTAATCAGACAGTGTTTAAGGCAATGCTCACATTCTTCTTTATTTTAACTGGGATAATTTGTGAAGGAAAACAATTCTTTTTATTCTATGACGATTCTTGAATAAATAAATGCTGGTCACAATGCTCGTTTGTTTGATGTGTTAACTCAGGAAAAATAAACAATGGACTTGTGCTACCATTGATTATCAGTCAACAATAGAACTATGCTCTAATTGATCTAATGTTTCATTTCCTTATTTAACAAAAATATTCGTAAACATTTTAGTATTGAAGATATTGTCATGAAATATTCACATTTAATAGAGGTCCACCCAATGTACATATATACCAAGTAATGTTTTCAAGAAGAATTTGAAAATGGCATTTTCAGCAACAACATTTGTTAAAATTAGAGAATTCAAAAAATCTTCAAGCGGGAGGGCATCACCTGGTGCACGTGCGGGAATTGAGTCCAAGCGATGATGGCTAACTGGTGTAAAATCAAAATATTTAGCAGGGAACTTGTACGCTCAGATCCTCCTTTCCCTATACCATGCCAACTCAATCACACATCAATCAAGTCTTCAAAAACTAAGGTTTTATTTTTGTTTTATTTTAAACATTACCCAACATTATATATCATTTAGCAGTAGCTGTACATATAACATAATGCAGTCTCTCTGTACACGTATATAACAAATATTAAAACACCATAGCAAAAAACAATGTTAACAAAGCATATAAAATATTTCCAACATTCCACAAATACTTAGTATATATTTGTACAAATGTTACTCAATAAATAAAAAAAAAATTGGTGTTCTGTTTAAGTCAGCAAAGAGTGGATGAAATAAGGGCATACAACTTTGTTGATGACATTAGATACAGTTGTGATTCCAATAAACTGTATAATTTGCGTAAAAGTTTTGTTTTCAAATATTCATTCTACTGGTATATTCAAATTAGTTGGTGGGTTGATTAGCTCAGGACAGTGCATCAGCTGGTGGTAGAGATCTGCGAGATGCACATGTTTACCTGTAAATCTGACCACACACCCATTGAAATTATCAAATTATTTGTAAATGTCATGGCATGAACTAGAATCGTTAATTTTAAAAAAAATTGGGCCATCTGATAGTATTTTTTTGTTTACTTTATTCTTGAACGTTAATTTAATCACAGTAGTATTTCATCAGTGGAGATTGATTGTTGATACGTTTTAAATTTATTCAAGACAGTCAATGTAAAAATTCAGGGGTGTTTGAGTTGAAGTTAAGGGGGGCATTAATTAAATCTAGTGAGCCAGTCACTTAATTGGCACATGGAAAACAAAAGAGCAACTAATCTAATGAGGTAGATTCCCACTATTAACTACATATGTAAATAGATATATCTGTATTTGTGATAACTACCAAAATAGTATAAAGACGTCGCCTGCAACGAAGACTGAAGAGAGATTTTTGTAATAATAAATGCAACTCCATTATAGGAGAGATCGGAAGAATACGTCAGAATGTGCGTTTCTGCTTTTGAGGCGATTACAAGGTATGAGGTATTTACAAGTTAATATAAGTCCTGTCCCACACCTGGATAAAGATTTGCTGACATTTTTTTTTCAAGACTGGACAAAACAAGAATCTTGTTTTTTTAAAACAATATCCATAAAAACTCGTTGGGTTTTTTTGTTTTTTTTTGAATTCCGTGAGTTTTTGAAGTGGTTTTTCCCATTTTTTTTTTCTTGAATTGCAACAGCTTTGGCAGAAAATTACTTTGCTGACCATTTACGAATGTGCAAAAATTCGAAACGACACCAATTTAATGTCCTAACCATCACACCACAAATGTGACTACACATAACAGAGTCAATACTCTACATAAAGTGATTATAAGATGGTCGTTAATGTAAAAAAAAAAGTTATATATACATATGTATGATCTCCAGACTCTTAATGATTTCACTTTCTTAAAAAGAACATATTCACAAAAATATACCGTCCAAGAATGCATGAATGTAGTTTTTTTTTTAAATAAATAAATACATGTAGGGAAGTCAACTTTGTGATTGTTTTAGTTATCAATTTCATTAAGTGCTCCCATAATGCATCACTTGGGATGAACTTTGTTTTGAAAAATAAAAAAAATATTTTATCAACAGTAGCATCTACTAAGTCATAGCCGCTTGTAATTTCAACCACACAAACTAAAATTGTTGCAGCATTGACTTTCCTGTTTTGAAGGGTTGACCATTAGTGAATTTAAAAAAAAAAATAAAAATAAAATCTACAGGCAGGGAAAAAAATCTCTAACTGCTAAAAAAAAAATATAGAGCAACATTAATCAAAATCTAGCTCAAAATTAGGTGAAGGAAACTAATTTAGAGTTTGTTCCACCTACCCCCCCCCCCAAGAGTATCTAATGGTCAACCCTAAGCTTGTATAATCAAGAACAAATGATCCTGTTTACTGTTCTACAAATAAATGTTTGAAATCGCTTTCAAATGTATGACTTTGTAAAGCAAACAAAATTTATGGTATGCAGGCCATGATTGGTTAGAATTGAACATGTGACTCATGATGCATAATGGGCATTTATGCAAATCTGGTCTGCACAGCCAAGTTCACCGAAATATATAGGACCAAGATATAGGACAGAAATTCAAGAATAGAGTTTTTGGGTTGAATTCACAAAACCAACATTTTGAAAACTATTCAAGGTGCATACATTTTTTTTATCATTAAATCTAAAAATCATTGCAAGGTTATGGGGGTTGCATTAAATATGCACAATTTTATATCTTATCTGTAGATGAACTTCTAATTATGTAAATTATCTGATTACAATTTACTTTTGATTACAATGAATATTTACATTCCTGTGTAATTATACGGATTTACCAATTTTGAGTTGACCATTGAATAATCTGCAAGGAAAAAAATTTAAAAAAAATTGTACAAGGAAAATCCTGCACTAAAGATAAAGCATAACAAGAAAGAAGTGTACAGCAACATCACGTTAAAAAATATCTAGTTAAACCCTAAGTGAAGGAAAAAAAAAATTGCACAATGTAGCACCCCGGTCAATTTTCTAATGGTCAACCCCTAATATATTTTAAACTTGACATCTAGGCTGTATGGTTTTTACAAAAATATTTTTACATTATCTAAAGTTGAATCAACAATTACTTTCTTGTAATTGCAAAAATTAGGTCCAATGGCGTTATAATCATTATCAAATACTATTTTCCTGAATAATTTACATATATGACTCAATCGTTCAGTCACGCTTTATAAGCGAAATGGTGTCGCTAGTCTGGGTGCTGCCAGGCCAGTCACACCACAGCTAGAAATATTAATTTGTTTAAATTCATCAAAATAAATATTACAGCCTCAAAGGGGAAAACTGTCTCTTGAAATAAACCAGTGATAGGAGAGGCATTGTTAGAAAATTTCCAAACACCACCCAAATATCGGAGATCATCTTAAGTACTGAACAGGTTGACGTATCCAGGACAGTCTTCACAGGCTTTCTTTAATGTGTCACGGATCTCCCGAATCGGTAGTCGTTTGGTTGGTTGCCTATGCCAACATCCGAGCATGATGGTATAGATTTCTCGATGTTCGTAGCAGGCAGCAGGGCAATCTAAAAGGGTGCCGTTCTTGATATACTCGATAACCTGTCAAAATAAAAATGATGGAAATCATGAGGCCAGTATGTATGTATATATGCATTGGTTTAAGACATCACACTCTTATCTTCCAAGCCTGCCACATGATGCAGAAGTCATTCAACCATAAAATGCCACTGTTGTCGTGAAATGTAATGTGTGATATGGATCTTATCGGATGTACACAGTACGTGTAGTATGATCACACATTGCATAATAAATGTGGCGCTTTAAAACATTTTCAAAATTTAATTTTTAATTAAATTTTGTATTAATTTTAATTAAATGTCTATTGCTCACCTCATGATTTGATAATTCGTACCACGGCTGTTTACCATACTCAAATATTTCCCACAACACCACACCAAAGCTCCACACATCACTCTCTATCGTAAACTTCCTATAAAGTACACTCTCCGGTGGCATCCATCTTACCGGCAACATCGTTTGTCCACCTACCTGTGAACACAAAAATAAAAATGCTTATTATATACACACTTATCCATAAGTCAGCAATTTCACAAGCAACAACAAATATGTCGTTATGGCAACCCTGTTCACACTGCCAAAGTAGACATGTTTTAATATAGGTTCTCTTGTAAATTTTGATAAAAATTGTTCAAAATGTGAATATATTTTAGTGTCAGCTTGATATTCAGAACAAGTGGTTAATTCCTGTCTAAAATAATTTTCTAATAGTGTTTGTTTTCTGTGTTTCCTTTTTTTTTTGTCACCTAACAATATATATGCATGAGAGAAAAGGAAAGTTTACATGTATTATATGTCTGAGGCCCAGGAGAAAAAATGGCCAAATTGTTTTCCAAATGTTTTCATTTTATTTTTTTTTAAATATATCATGAACAATGTTAAGTGGAAGTCGTAAAGTGGAAACACACAGTTCAAAAGGAAAGTTTCATCATCAAAATATTTTATGGTAAACAACTCAGACACAACAATAACAAATACCCACCCTATAATAATCAGTGCTATAAATGTCACGGGACATTCCAAAATCTCCAATCTTAACAACCAATTTATCACCAACTAAACAGTTTCTAGTTGCCATGTCCCGGTGCACGAAGTGTTGCGACGCCAGATAAACCATGCCGGACGCTATTTGTACCGCTATGAACAACAGCTTCGCACTGTGTCAATACTGCGTCCGTGGTGACAATTTTGCTCAAGTACTGGGCGTCTGGTCCACGCGATCTATGTAAGGTAGACACAAGAAAACAATAGATAAAAGAAAAAGGCAAGACATTCAATGCATTTCCAATGACATTAAACATTAACCAATAAAGAGACTTTTAACTTCTTTGAAAATTTGGAATTTGGTGAGCTCTCCACCTTAGCCAAGGATCGGTGTGTGTGCACATTTACATAACTCTACTACATAACTCATACTCACAAACATTTATGGTCACAGTGTCATGATTTAGTCCATGCAACTTCCAAAATAGACAACATAATATAGACGGGAACATCAAGATTTTTTTGTAGTCAACATTTTCGCCCAGTACAAACACACCTACTCGTATTGCTATATGTTCAGAGGACTTCATTGGATTAACTTTTAATATAGTTGAATTAACTTTTAATATAGTTGCGATATGAACTCGAATAAACTCGTTCCTATATAGGGTTGCGTTTTAATTGAAGTTTAATTAAACTCAATTACAATGCATTTTAAAGTAGAATTGGTTTTAAGGTAGAGATGCAGTTTATTTGGCTTGCTTTTTAATTGAGTAATTAGACAATGAAGATGGTATTATATATCCAACATGTTATATATTTTCTGAAAGCTTATTATACAAACTTTGTAAAACTTGTCTTTATTTTAAATATCCAAAATGCGTTTTTGATATTTGGGTCAAAAATGTGCTTTTTTGGACAAAAGTGGTTTTAAAAAAATTAGCTTAAAAACTTCAAGTCCGTTTGTGGGTAAAATTACATCACTGGATACCTTGGTATACTACTAATTCAAATGCGTCCACTCATCTCTCTAACGGCTTTCAAAGTCGCACAGCATGACCTCAAAGTTCACTCTTTTCTATTTTT